TAGCGTGGACAGAACACCACTATGGAAGCTTTTTCGACACTACGGCGTGCCTCAGAAGATAGTCAATATCATACAGAATTCCTACGATGGATTAAACTGCAAAATCGTGCATGGAGGACAGTTGACAAACTCCTTCGAAGTGAAGACCGGTGTCAGACAAGGTTGCTTACTCTCACCCTTTCTCTTCCTCCTGTTGATCGACTGGATCATGAAGACATCAACATCTGAAGGGAAGCACGGGATACAGTGGACAGCTAGGATGCAATTGGATGATCTAGACTTCGCAGACGATCTGGCTCTTCTATCGCATACGCAACAACAAATGCAGGAGAAGACAACCAGTGTAGCTGCAGCCTCAGCAGCAATAGGTCTCAATATACACAAAGGGAAAAGCAAGATTCTTCGATACAACACAATCCAATCACAATTGACGGAGAAGTTTTGGAAGATGTAAAAACCTTTACATATTTGGGCAGTATCATTGATGAACACGGTGGATCTGATGCAGATGTGAAGGCACGGATTGGCAAAGCAAGAGCAGCATATTTACAACTGAAGAATATCTGGAACTCAAAACAATTGGCAACCAACACCAAAGTCAGAATTTTCAATACAAATGTCAAGACAGTTCTACTGTAAGGCGAGGAAACTCAGAGAACTACGAAATCCATCATCCAGAAGATACAGGTGTTTATTAACAGTTGTCTACACGAAATACTTCAGATCCGCTGACCGGACACTATTAGCAACAACCTACTGTGGGAGAGAACAAACCAGATTCCAGCGGAGGGAGAAGTCAGGAAGAAGCGCTGTAAGTGGATAGGACACACATTGAGGAAAGCACCGAACAGCGTTGCAAGACAAGCCCTCACATGGAATCCTCAAGGCCGAAGGAGGAGAGGAAGACCAAAGAATACATTACGCCGGGAAATGGAGATAGATATGAGAAAAATGAACAAGAATTGGATGGAACTAGAAAAGAAGGCCCATGACAGAGTGGGTTGGAGAATGCTGGTCGGCGGCCTATGCTCCATTGGGAGTAACAGGCGTAAGTAAGTAAGTAAGTAAGTGAGTAAGTAATTATGGGACTCTTCAGCTGAGAACTGTCATACTAGCTTAGCTATCTTATCTTGGATAGATTCATGGATTTATTTAAATTCAATTAGAATATTATTAGTTTCCCTGCCTTTGTTTATTCTATCTCAGTGTTACCATGTTTAACAGAATTTGATTATCACTATCATTGTGATTATTACCACCTTGAAAAATAAGTATATATTTGTGATTGTACAGCTTTGACAATGAATTCGCCGAATAGAGAGCTCCTCATTGTAGCAATTTTCTTATTTCATATCGTGAGATGCAGTGTTTTTTATAAGGTGTCAGACATGAAATTATTCACCATAAATTACTGTTTAATCAATGACACTATGGATGATATGTGAAAACCAACTGTTTCATTCATAAGTTTGATAGTAGAGAACAAATATATCAATTAGAAAAGGGAAGATGACAAAACATGATCAGTGACTGTTACGCAATAAATAGAAATTTAATGAAACTTGTGAATTGTTCGCCTATTCATTACGTAGTCTATTACAACTGTGTGACGTGATCTAGAAATTTATAATCATTTTTAGCGTTTACACTTTAACACTTTTCTGACATTACGTGCATTCATTAAATAAACGTTCTGTATATGTTCTCGGTCATGTTCACGTATGAGCTTGAAGACGTTTGAAATGAAATATTTGGTGTTAGTTTTGATTCTTAGCTGTATGTTTTAAGCATGGCGCATACGTTGTTGTCTTTGATAACGTCTGCAGATACACAAAAACGAGAGAAGACAAATCCATTGAAAAAATAACGTGTACTAACTTCGGGGAGAGCTAAATCGGACAAAATGAGAATCCACTTCCCCACATATACGAACACAGACTAGCTGTGAAACAACAGAGTATGTTATCATTGATATTAGTGCGCGTATATAACTAAGGACATTGATTCGACTAAAAAGACATGGAAATCGTAAAAATTGGGAATTTTTTAAGATCCGTAGAAAATTTCTAGAAGTATGGCATTCAGATTAACTGACAGCCAGTAAACACATTGACATTGGTCCGATCTGTTGACCTGTATAGAAAAGGTCAATCAGTCACATAGTCAGAGATCAACCAAAATGACAAACAGACTGAATACAAGAATAATGGAAGCAACATAACGATGATAGTATACATAATCACGTTATCATCATTTTATCAATATAAGAATAAGTCTTACCGTAAAATATGATTCTTAGTGCTGAAGAGGTATAAATCAGTTAGAGAAAACCTCGTATTAAACTATAGATAATTACTCCCAGTAACCTTTATTGTCTGTGATTTTTGTATAAGTAATATGCACTGCAAGATGATGTATTAGAAATACTTTTTACTAGGTTTGTAACGTTTTAAATATAGTTCAGTATTGCAAACGAAATCGTCTTGTAAACTTATACGGTCAAATATACACGTTGTAAAATAATTGTAGTTATGAAGTGACGTAATACATCTAATGTCTAATATAAATTATTTCGTAACTAATACCAATAATAAATCATTAACTCATGTAAATAATTGTGGTGTGAGAAACTACTATGTTGATAAATGTTGAACCATTTTAAACCATTATAAAATGCTTTTTATTGTGTATATATCAATTTGGTAGACAATATTCTAAGACTGTCTTCTTATATGTAACATCATTTTAAAAAGTGAATTATTAGTTGAAGTTAGACATTAACACAGTTAGATGCCGGATCAGTGGTCTAGAGGTTAGGACCAGTAGGTTCTGAGTTCGAATCTCGCGAAGCGGGATCATGGATGCTCACTGCTGAGGAGTCACATGATAGGACGAAACCGCCGTCCAGTGCTTCCAGGTTTTCCATGGTAGTCTAGCTTCAATTGACTCATAATCTCAACTATTATAAATTATTTTATTTTGTCTAATTGTTAGTTTCAAAACGATCAAATAGAATTCGTTTTCAATCAAACTTTACTTGAGAATACAAGAAATACACTAAAATTGTTTATGAGATATGTTAGTTTATGAGAAAATATTATTGTTATTATTGTAATGTTATTTATGAAATGAATATATTCAAAGTATAAATAAAAAAAGGAGTCTATTGCATTAATTTCAAATAATATCCATTCTACCTAAAGGTTGTTGTAGTACAAGACAGTATATACGTTGTTTTTAATCAAATGAAAAACTAACCATATTCGGGTATCATTGATTTGACTTAATTCGAGTGAAATAGTTTAAAGGGTAATGAATTTTCAAACTTTTAATTTTTTATTTAAAAAACCAGATTACCAAACATCTGATGCGTTATCTTTCTAATAACGTGGATTCTTATATTGAAACTGTTTATTTGGATGCGTTTGGCAAAAAAATCATCATATTCAAAAGTCTTAAGCACAATTAATGCAGTTAAGTTTAGGTTTCACAGTAAAACTTAGAACAAACATAAATTACTAGGCTACAGAATTGCATTAACCAACTAATAGATGATGGTTTCTAATCCACATTCGATTTTTTAATATCATACTCTTTCTTCTTATACGTATGATTTCATTTTAACTCGTTATTAAAGTTCTAGAAATCGTTTTCTTTTTGCAGTAAATTTTGTTCAACTCAGAGTTCATAAGTGACTATCGGACAGTATAAGTTTGACTAAAGGGTTAGGTTAAAATTTACAAAAGTGGGGTTAGATTTTAGACTTTTTTCATAATTCATTGTAAAATGAAAGTATACAGCAAAAATATTTTCAACTAGAAATCCTTAAATTGATCTCTAATTATAATATGAGTTTAGATGAGCAATATGAATTGTTACCATAGATCTATGATAGATTCTCTTCAATTTCTAAATAGAATAATACAGTATACTTTTTGGAATTCATGTAAACTAACTTTCGTTAATTCCATCAAGTTCTTAAGCCAGTCACAATAGAAACGAACTAATCCAAATAGTCAATATGAAATGGGTGGAAGTATTCGTTTTGTATGTCATGTATGTCAAGTCCTTCTTTAGTGTTGATCGAATTCTACCCATCAAGCTGCCATGTGGCCCCCAAATGCCCTGGTACGGCCGAGAGTGGGGAGAGTCCGCTCTCCCTCTCGAAATGCTCTCACGTGGCCATGCGTATATAGCCTCTGCCAGGGAAGTCCTACTCACTGCCTTCTCGTGGCGGGGGTGTTGTTTACAAAAATGAGAGGACGAAAAGCGAATGTCTGGCGCTTTAACCGGACCCCAAACCAATGGTGCACATGGGCTCCAGTATCCTGAAGGAACAAATGGCGTATGAACCAATCGTTGGTCACCGGCTACCATGGGACTGCATCTCCTTACGATGCTCCACTGCCTTGTGGGTCAGACGTTCAGGTCAAAGGCTCGGGGTGTGGCCCCCTAAGAAAACCACCTGCTTCGGTTTGGGCACCCGAGCAGTATCACAGCCCTCAGACAAATCAATTGAGCTTTGTGTGGCGCATATGTATTTGGTGCCTCCCTGTACCTATACTTATGTGTTAAAATAAATAAATAAATAAATAAATGACTTGACATCACTTGCACTATGTTGAGATATGAGGTGGTGGCTAGAGGTAGTGCCGAGGACTAATAACCTATGTCAAATGTTTCCTGTCGACTACCACCAACCATCAACTTACAATATTGATTAATATTTCACTCAAACTTCTCACGAAATATTTTCCCCACAGGATAGTAAAATCCAAATAAAAATTCAGTTTATTATTTCAAAAACTCTTATTCAATATCTGTTCTGCGTATTTATGATATATATTCGACTGTATAAAGTGTGAACTTTAGAAAGCAGAATACATTTGAGCAAACATTCAACCAGTAAATGTATTTTCCATCTACCTACTTAGAAAATATTTAATTTAAATTTTTTTAATCCTGAGGATTTCATCGATTTTCTTTGTATCTATTGGCAGGAAACTTGGCAATGTTTCTCCGTTACTTGACATTGAGGATTTAATGCGTATGAAAGTACCTGACTGGAAATGTGTCTTTACACAAATTCAATTGTATTATCGACGTTTCCATTTGGAGGAAGGTAAAAATGCAACTGTTCCTCCAACTGGTATCCTTCCTAAAGCTGCCCCGAAATCAGAGAATACGGATGAATAGTATTCTGTATATAAGTAATCTGTACGACCAATCATATATATATATATATATATATATATATATATATATATATATATATATATATATCAATTCATGGAGATACACGAAAGATGTGAAAATAAAATGTCTAATTTGTATGTTTGCTTTTAACGAAAGCTTTGCCCTTTTCAAAGCCTAACTCACTAGTCTGCTTTATCATCCCAGTCACTGTTGAATTTTAATCGACGGATGCTTACCACATTAAAGATATACATATATTTGATTTCTCAGTTCAGTAAACAATGCATTTTATCTCATCATCATCTATCTAATCATAATGTAAAGTACTTAGCGATATCACAATCATTTTTTGCTATAGCCTACAAAATTAGCTAGTTTATTTTTAATGCTTTTTATTTCTTTTGATTTCACTTGACTCTATATCAGCAAGATTACACTGACTTTTTCTTGAAAGATTAGAGAATAGGTTTATTTATGACTTTATATCTCAACATTTATCTTTCATAATTTTGATTCAGATAAATGAAATCACATCAAATTATTTTTATTTCTTCAGTATTAAGGTTTTTTTATATATATATATATATATATATATATATATATATATATATATATATATATATATATAATTGAAGTTGAATTTAACTTCTTTTACTCCCGAGAAAATACATTTAAATTCACTAGTATTCAGTGTTTCAGGTCTCTTAAGGACATAATTATTCATGACTTTACTTGTGTTTTGACTAACCAGTAAAGAATGGATGACAGGACAACTAATAGAAGTACTTTTTAAGGTATGCTTAAAATAAGTTAGCAAATGAATATACAGAAAAATATTCTTTATAACTAAGTTTTCATTGTTGTTAATTAGAAATTTTTATGGTCTATAAGATCCCCGCATCTTTTAAGAAGACTGGTCACTAGGACTAACTTATTCATCTTGCCAGGCTAATCCATTAAAACACTTTCCCTTGTAACTGAGGTCTAATTTCATCAGCTGATAATAACAAACATAAGTCTTCTTAATACTGAAAGTCTTAAAAACCGTCTTGAGGAATTTAGAGATGATGGCACAACTCCCTAAGATGACGATCAAAGAAGGATAATCAAGCTGAAAATCGAACATCTGAAGTTATCTCTCCAACACAATTTATATGTTCCCATATGTCTTTACACAATTGTTCTAATGACTAACAGAAGTTTATACATAAGTAATATAATAGTGTTATGGTGAATGAAGACACATGTGGGAACAATCAAATGTATCTGAACATAAAATCACAGAATCTTTTTGTAAAATCTGAGAACTATACAGGAAATGCTCCATTTGCAAAATGCCAATCAATCGTCTCAGACTTTATTGTTTCTTCAGTTCCACACCAATTATTCTCTGTTTTTCGTTTTCTTTTCTTCAATCTTCCTAACATTCTGTCTCTAGGCATTTCACTTTCGATTGATGATATATACTACTTGTATCTGTTGATATCAGTATCACACACACACACGTTCACAACTTTATAAATTGAAAACTTTTATTTATTTATTCTCGATTGTTTCAAAAGATTCAAAGTAAATTAAGTCACCCTGAATTTAGGCGCAGTCATGAATTGTATCTGTTTACTATCGTATTTATACGAATGATCATTAATAAAAGATTATCCCACAGCTCATCATCATGGCGAATTACGGTACATATTGAAATATTAGGATTTGTAGAAGTCTGGAAAGCACAAAACGTATCGACACATCATATAAATAACTGTATTTTTAATTATTTGCTTATATCGGAAATGATACTCAGACGCGCGCTGCCTGAGGTCGAGATCGATGTCATCTATCGATATTACAGAAAGTAGTATAAACAAGAAGAAGTGGGGAAACTATGTTTGTACGAATTCTGGCAATATACATTTCCAGTTGGCCATTAATTCCCGATAAAATAAAAGGCCAGCTAGTCTAACTTATCAGACGATAATGGATGGGAAATTGACTACTGCGAAATGGTACAGATAAAACAAGGAATGAAAACGACAAGTTGCGAAACAAGTTTCATCAGTGACTCGTGTCATAAGAGATATAGCGATGTTGATTCGACCTAATAGGATACAGGACAGTTGAAAACATTTGATGCTGCTGAACTCATGATTGGATTATTGCTTTAGTTATCTGGTTATAACGTAGATTACATGCCATAGAGGAGCAAGTGTTGAGGATCAACCTTGATAATACAAATAAAATATTATTATTTAATAGTGAAGATAAAAAACACTATGTCTACATAAAATAAGACAGTAAATCACTTAGGACCCCTATTTGAATACTACTATTGTAATAGCAAATTGTCGGTGGTTCCTTAGCTGTCTACCTTTGTCTTTTAGAATGGAATTAAGAAAGCACATCCGCTCATCTGTGGATGGGACAGAATAGGCTGATCACTTTAAAGTCAGTTATTCTCTACCGAGTTAATCATAGTGAAAATTTAGAGCGATATCAGATAGATATAATCAAAGGTTTATTTAATAAACTATTATCTGTAGATATTCTCGTAATCCGACTGTCTATAGATCGTATGCTTGGAAACCAACCAATAAACTCGAAAGAAACTGGGCTGTGGTTATCTTTGACGAGGTATGATTTCTATGGGGTGAAGTGATGGAATACTGAGAGGTGGGGATTTATTAATGGGTATTCCTGTAGATGTCCGCAAAAATCAGGCGCTCGTCAGTATTGTAAAAAGCGAAAAAAAACAGAGGAAATCACGATTGCAAGCCCAAGAAAAATACCTCAGAAAAGTGATATGACGGATGATCCTGAAGCCTTAATGAATACAGCACAAAATAATTTAAATTAACTTTAGACGTCCAAATTGTGCTTAAAATTGACTTGAACTGTGTTTGTAAACAAGCTCTTCTAAGTCACACACAATAAATCTAACGTAAATGTGAATAATTCCATGGATATGCGGTAATAAGATTTTTTGAGGATAACACAACGGTAAGGGTGAATACACTTGAAATACGTTGATGGTATAAGATAATTTTTCTTGAGAAATAGCGGGATTCGAATCCTTATAGAGAAGCTGTTTTACGACAATGTAACGTCCAGATTCGAATTTGTGTAGTAAGGACAGAAGGCATACGGCCTAGATTATTCCTTTTCCAGTATGTTTCTGTGAGTGTCTAGTCTTTTCCTGAATGATTCGATTGAAGGTGCGGACACTACTGCTTCGGGTAACAGGTTCCGAACCCCGGAGTTCTGGAATTGCACGGGTAGCTGCCCTCTGCAGTTTTTCCAGGATATCCGAGTCACCTTTTAAGCAGGGGCTTGCAGCCTGAACGCAGTTCTGCAGCCTAGTTCTCACTAAGGTTGTGTATAATGTAGTGAACTTGGTAGTATCTAACTTAGTGCGTATCCTTTTTAAAGCCTATAGGGTTATAAACCCCTTAGCTGCAACTACCCGGCTGTGGGCTGCGGTCTTAAGATCATGACTTACTGTCACCCCGAGACCGAACCACGGGTACAGACACTTCTCTTATGCTGTACCTACTAACATCTGCATCACTAAAGTGCATGTAGACAGATTATGCCGCGTTCATAGGCATCAGCTACTCTTTAGATCAGCTAATCAGAATATTTAAGTTTGCCTGAAGTGCTCCTGCATCTGCGCCTACCGTTGTTTCTCGTCAGATTTTCACACGAATAGTATAAAACATAAAGAACCTAGAACACGACCTTGAGGTACTCCACTATGTACTGGTCTTCAGATGGAGCACTTCGAATTTCGCTCTTACTTTCTGTCTACGACCTACTAGGAAATCCTCAAGCCATTTTAGGAGAGGTTCGACAACGCCTAGATTTCCCAGCTTCAATAGCAGTTTATTTGTTGACACCTTATCAAATGCTGCACTGAAGTCTATATAGACAACATCCACTGATTTTCTATTATCTAGAGCCTCTATCCATCACTTTCTTGTGTAAGGATATTTGTTGTGCAAGATAAACCTTTTTTGAAACCGTGTTGTTCGCTGTTTAACAAGTTGTTGGTTTCCCGGCACGTTATTATGGTCTTGTTGATTATGCTTTCCAGTATTTTAACTAAGACACTGGTGTGGCTGACAGGTTGTCCTGGTCCCATTTTATGTATTCAGGTGATATTTGCATCCTTCTAGTCCGTAGGTAACTCACCTTAGCCAAACGGCTTATTGAATATCACGGTTACTGGGGCTGCAATATATTGGGCAATTTGTCTCAGGATTTTAGGGTGTAGCTCATCCGGTCTTGTTGACGTTTCCGTATCTGAAGCACCGAAAGCTTTAAGTGCATTGTCTCAATCAAAGCCAACGGTGAGCAGAAGGTTTGTTGGCTTTGTACTTGGGTTTAGTTCTTCGTTTAGAAAACGCTCCTGTGTGAAAATTGACACAAAACAGTTTGCCATAGCCTCTGCCTTTTCTTGATATTCCTTTATCATTTCTGACCCACTCCTTTCCTTATTTGCGTTAAAAATTCAGTGTTGCATCCTTGTTCTGTAATTTATGAACGAGAATAGTCTCTTAGGCTGCTTGATTGTAGGTCCTGCCAACTACATTTCATATTTTCTCTGAGCTCCTCGTATTTTGATGGTACACTTGTTCCTTACCGACCTGTAGCTTCGTAAGGCATGTCTGATGGGATCCCTAATGTGCTATAATAAAGCTAGTGCATTTGCTGTTTCTAAAAATTTGCAATCAAATAACGTTGTTGACGTCCCTGCTTCTAAGTTTTCCCAGTTTACATACTGTAAGTTAAAGTCGCCTTAAAGGCTTTAACCCATTCTACTCCAGGGCATAAGTTTGCCTAGAAAGAAGTTATCTACTACGCATTCGGGACTGCAATAAACCACAACTAATCCAATATCTTACCGTCTTTATTTCAGTCTACAACGCTCCAGTTTACATGTCCCTGGATCATGTACCACTGTTTCAATAACTCGTATGGTTAAAGAACGTTTTGTGTACAGGATA